GTAAACCACTCCCTCCCCAACCTTTAGGGTATTTGACTAAAAAAGCAGGTACCCAGGGTCCATCTCAGACTCACTAAACCAGAATCTCTGAACGTGGACCCAGGCATATGTATTTTTTGGTAACAGTTTGACTGAGATATAACTCACATGCCATAAAACTCACCCTTATAAAGTGTACAGGTCAATGATTTTTAGTCTATTCACTGAGCTTTGCAACCATCACCACTAGCTAATTTTAGAATATTTTCATCTTCCCAAAAGGAGCTTCCATAGCTGTTAGCAGTCACTCTCCATTCCCTGTCCTCCAGCCCATGGCAACCATTAATCCACTTTCTGTCTCTATGATTTGCCTGTTCTGGACATTTCATACACGTGAAATCATGTAATATGTATTCCTGTGTGTCTGGTTTCTTCACTCAGAAGAATGTTTTCAAGGCTTGTCTATGTTGTAGCCTGTGTCAGAACTTCATTCATTTTAATTAATGAATAATGTTGCATTGTACATTGTACAGATAAATCACATTTTATCCATTCATCAGTCGATGGACATTTGAGCTGTTAAAACGACAATGCGGTATTACTTCACACCTGTCAGAATGGCTATCATCAATAAATCAACAAATGACAAGTGTCATTTGTCGAGGGTGTGGAGAAAAGGGAGCCCTAGTGCACTGCTGGTGGGAATGCAGACTGGGGCAGCCACTGTGAAAGACAGTATGGAGTTTCCTCAAAACACTAAAAATGGAACTGCCTTTTGACCCGGTGATCCCACTTCTAGCAATATATCCTAAGAAACCTGAAACACCAATCAGAAAGAATGTGTGCACCCCTATGTTCATAGCAGCATTATTTAGAATAGCTAAGATCTGGAAACAGCCCAAGTGCCCATCAGTAGATGAGTGGATAAAAAGCTGTGGTACATTTATACCACGGAGCACTATGCAGCAGTAAAAAGGAAAGATCTCTTACCCTTTGAGACAGCATGGAGGGACCTGGAGAATACTATGCTAAGTGAAATAAGTCAGTCACAGAAAGACAAGGATCACATGATCTCCGTCATATGTGGAATCTCATGAACAAAATAAACTGATGAACGGAGTGGCTGTTGTCCTCAGGTGGGAGCGGAAGGGTGTGGCTGATGGGCCAGGCGAGGCCACAGGTTCCCGCCTGACCCGGCAGTTCTGGTTCCCAGTAGGACAGCCCTGGTTTCCATCCCCAACCCAGTGGCTCTAAGGGGCTGAAAGGAACAAGTTTCCATTTGACCCAAACCTCCGGAAGGACCTTTGAGGCCGAGGTGTGGCGATGTTTGCACTCACACAGCAAACTCATGTCCTTTTCCCCCTGAAATAACTGCCCGTCCAGAAGTGATCATGACCCCGGGCACAGGCTTGTACCGGCGGTGAGGACGTGGGCGCATGGGGGGGCGGGGGGACTTCGAACTCCTGTCACAGCCCCACCTCCGGGACTTGGTTGCAAATCCAGGCGGAGCTGCTGGCAGGGGGCGGGGGGCAGCCAGCTGCTCAGAGCTCGGTGCTGGGGGAGGAGGAGGGTTTTCCCAGCTGAGCAGCTGCGGGCATTTCTCTTCTTGCCTCGCCCATCACGGGGAGCTGGTGGTGCTCAGTGTGGAGACCATGGTGCATAAGTAGGAATTAACTCACTGAATGAGGAAAAGGAAAGTGACCCAGAAGAACTTACTTATGTAAAAGCAGCAAACCATGGCCTGTTCGGCATGGTTCAGCGGTTGAGCATCAACCTATGAACCAGGAGATCACGGTTTGATTCCCAGTCAGAGCACATGCCCAGGTTGCGGGCTTGATCCCCAGTGAGGGGCGTGCAGGGGGCAACCTAGTGATGTTTCTCTTTCTCTCTCTGTCTCTCTCTCTCTCTCTCTCCTTCTTCCTTCCTCTCTGAAATCAATAATATATATATATTTTTTTTTAAAGCAAAAGAGAGGGCGACAGCTGTACACAGGAACTGGCTCTGTTTCCCTTCTGCCCCATAAAGAACAGCAAATCCTCCAAACGGGTTGACATGGAAATAGCCCCTGAGAGTAAAGTGTGGGTGACCGACCGTCCCCGCAGCTCAGCCACGCAGGCCCATCTCCCGCTTCCTGGAACTGCTCCCCTGGCCGGGACATGGGATTTATGGCTTTGGAACGAAGGGGTTTTTTAATAGAAAAACTAATGGGTTCCTCATGGGCCGCTGCCCGAGACTTGGCCGAGTGCTGTCCAGCCTGTGCGTTCCTCGTGCTCCCTTCTCATCCCCGGCTCCGTCATGAAGAAATCCGCCCATTGGAACCTCTGCTCCTTCCTTTCCCAGAAAGAGAGTGAGTCACCCGCTCCGCAGACTCCCACCCCTGGAGCCAGGGCGCGTGGCTGCGGGACTCTGCCCCGAGCTGCCGGCCTCAGAGCAGGGCCCAGGCCCGGGGAGGGGGGTGGGGAGCTCTGGTTCTGCCTGGAAGAGTCGAGAGAACTCCATGAAGAAATCCCCCAGAGCTCTGAGGACCAGGGAGCCAGGCTGTCCTCACCCCAGCTGACCTGCTGGTCACGGAGGTGCCGGGCTATGTGCCCAGAGCCATGTCCTAGGGAGAGAGTCTCTATGGAAAAGAGCTTTCGCCCGGCCGGTGTGGCCCAGTGGTTGAGCGCTGACCTAGGAACCAGGAGGTCAGGGTTCAAATCCCAATCAGGGCACAGGCCCAGGTTGCAGGCTCGATCCCCAGTGGGGGGTGTGCAGGAGGCAGCTGATCCATGATTCTCTGTCATCATTGATGTTTCTATCTCTCCCTCCCTCTCCTTTCCTCTCTGATGTCAATAAAAGTGTATTTTTTTAAAAAAGAAAAAGCAGCAGACCACAGGGTAGCTCAGGTGCACCTGCCTGCTCAGGGTCGCTGGGGGTCGCCCTC